TTTTGGAGTCCCGATTCCAGGCTATATGTGCCATCATAAAAGGCGTCAGAAGCTACCCCATCACCAAGGCACAGAACTGCCTGAAGCTCGTGGGTCACATGGCTGCCTGCACGTATTTCATATAGCATGCAAGACTGTGATTCAGACCTCTTCAAACCATATGGGGCTTGCCAGAAGCCTATGCCCAGGAGCGACCCCCCCACGCTTCTTGCCTAAAGTGTCTGGTAGAATCCCACCAAAAGGATTGCTCCAAATTTGTAGGGGATTTCATTCCAGAACTAAAAAGGAGAGGGATCAGAGACTGAAGTTCCTCCTGATGGAGGCAGCCCTCTGCCCACGTTTGGAGCCAAGTTCGGCTCACTGGCACCCAGCACATCTGCCTCAGTGCGGAGCACACCAGCAACAATGAGGGAGACTCCAGCACTGAGAGAAGACTCTGCTGCCAGAGACTCTCAGAACCGGCAGGGCTGGCTTCAGTATATCCAAACTGAAACCACTTAGACATAGTGGTCTCATTGGGTAATTGAGTTCCTTCTTTGGTGGCTGAATACGCAGGCTGTCTGCGGAGGAGTGCCCTTTTTCAGATCTTAACCCTCACTGCCCGTAGTTATGGAGCTCATCTGGGGAGATTCTGGACCGAAGGCCTCTGGTCCCAGGTGGAGCTTTCACTAGATATCCCTGTCAGAGAGCTGAGAGTGGTGTGCCTAGCCTGCCAGACCTTCCGAGTCCACCTAGAGGGCAGATGTGTATTGGTCACAACAGACAATACAACAGTAATGTTCTATATAAACAGACAGGGTGGAGCATGCTCCTATCTCCTATGTCAGGAATCCCTCAAACTATGGGAGTTCTGCATAGCCCACTCAATACATCTCGTGGCTTCTTACCTTCCTAGGTCCCAGAATGACTTGGCAGACCACCTCAGAAAGTCCTTCTCCAACCATGAGTGGTCCATTCGCCCAAAACATTGTGAACAGCATCTTCCAATGGTGGGGAGTTGACCATGTAGACTTGTTCACAACAAGACACAACAGGAAGTGCCTGCAATTTTGCTCCTTCCTGAATCACTGCCCGGGCTCAGTTGCAGACACATTCCTCCTCCCATTGAGGGGCCAGCTTTTCTATGCATTCCCGACAATTCCACTCCTACAGAAGGTGTTGCTGAAGGTCAGGAAGAAAAGTTCTGATCTGGCCGTGTCAGTATTGCTACACCACAGTCCTACACCTGTCAGTGGAGGCTCCAAACGGTCTGCCCCTTGGCTCAGATCTCATCACCCAGGACCATGTCTGCCTTCAGCATTCGAAGCTCTAGTTTCTCCATCTCATGGTATGAAATCTCTGACTAAACCTCTGGGAGTTGACATGATCAGGACCCGTCAGAGAGGTCCTCCCAGGCAGCAGAAAACCATCCATGAGGGCCATGTACCTGATTAAGTGGAAAAGATTCTCTATCTGGTCGATGCAAAGGGGAGAGCAGTGGGGCGGGGGAGGCTGAGTGGGGCTGGGGGCAGGGACCCCTCCCCCCACCGCTCTCCCCTGCGGGGGCAGGAGGCAGAAGCTTGGTCCTGCGGCAGCCAAGCTTCCCCCTCCCCCGCTTCTTCCCCCAGCGTGGTGCTTTCCTGCCCCTCCTCCTCCTTTCACCGGGCAGGCAGCAGCATGCCACTCAAAATCGGCTTGCGTGCCATAGGTTGCCGACACCTGGTATAGGTTATTAGTCACTCAGATAATACAAACTCCCTTTATTTAATCTTAGTGTAAAAGGTTCCCTTTCATATATTTTAAGGCTAGAAGGGTCCATTATGATTATCTAGTCTGACCTCCTGCATAACAGAGGCACTAGAATTTAGCTAAGTGATCTAGTTCAAAGATTTCTGGAATGAAACTAGATCATATCTTTTAGAAAGATTTCAAATCTTGCCATCCCTTGGGAATTTGTTGAATGGTAAATTACCCGTTTATATCTTAGGTTATGTCTACACGTGCAGAGTTTTTGCGCTGTAAGTTTCACTGGTGATAGGGAACCGGGGAAGGAAAAGCGCTGGTTTGTGTATTCACTTAAGTCCTTAGGTGTCAGAGAGTATTTACACTAGCAGCACTTCCATCCCTGATGAGAGAAGCGCTATAGGGCAGCTATCCCACAGTGCAGCTCTCTTGATAGGTCTGGGGAGGGGCTGAGCGGAAGACATTCTGGGTCCCTGCTCAGTACCCCGTGATGCACTGCTTCATGTCCCAGCAGCCCCATTACTTCTTTGTTTCTTTTGCTGCATTTTTAAAAAAAATCCTGCTGTCTGGCTGCTTTCTCCGCCTCCTCTACAAGCAGGAATGGCTCCTGCACTGCTGTCCACTACTCTGATAGCTGTCACTTGCACATCGCACTTAACAGTGCAGCTGTTCTTAAACTTGCAAAGAGAGCTGCAGTCAGAGATGCCTGATGAGCTGCCTGAAATGGAAATAAGTAACATTTGATTGTTTTTGCCATTAACTGAGGAGCTGTGCAGTGTGGAATGGCGTTTTGGGGCTAGAGAAACTAGCTCAGAGTGGTAGGATCATATTGTTATACATGTCTGGGATGACAACCACTGGCTTCAAAACTTTCGTATGCGGAGAGCCATCTTCATGGAACTGTGTGCTGAACTTTCCCCGGAAATCCTCCGGAGGCCAAAAGGTGTTTACACAGGTAGAACGTGTCTTTCACTTTCACAACAGTGTAAAAAGAACAGCAGAAAGAGCTGTATGCCTCTCGTGAAAGTGATTTTTCTTTTTGCGGTGAAACTTCTGAGTTTCACCACAAAAAGTTATTAACAAGTGTAGACAGTCCTGGGGTTTTAGTGCAAAAAAGGGACTTTTTGCTCTTTAAATGGCAAGTGTAGACATAACCTTAGTTCCACTTTGGACTTTGGTGATTTCAGCTTCCAGTCCATTGGATTTTGTCTTTATCTGCTAACAAAGTAATAGTAGAAATCTGCTCCCTGGCAAGTTACCTCATTGTAAGTGTGTTTTCCTCATTATGACTCTTTCTTGTGGCTGTTCCTGAACTATCTCCAATTTTTCAGCATTCTGGTTCTGCCACAGACTTGATGTGATGTTGGACATGATCTTCTCAGCACAATTATGCCAAATTAAGGGTATAAACCAAAAGTAATAATAGTAAAGAAACCCTAATGCATGTGACATCACTATAATAGTGAAAAAGTCTTGAAAATCGATGGAGATTGGGTTTGAGACTATAACAGTTTTCATGTTAAATGTTCCTGCTAAAATAACAAACATACTGCCCATGATACTGATTTTGAATTTGCCTAATCCACAGGGAGTCATTGAGAAAAGGCAAATATGATCTTCCTTGGTAAATGATACTGTCGCTTCAATATCAGAAGTTCTATTACCATTATTATCCTTCTATAATTACAAAGGGAAAAAAAAAGATACTTTGATATGTAAGAAATTGGTATCCGATTTAAACTAAGCTTAATTTGGTTCTACTAAATAAACTTTATACTGCCACACCAACCGGCTGTGATATATGTGAGACGAGGTGGGTGAGGTAATATCTTTATTGGTCCAATAAGAGATATTACTTCACCCACCTTGTCAGTCCCACAATATTAGAGACACATGGCTATAACTACACTGCATGTGACAAATGTCAGCGGTCTGAGAGATGATATTGCTTTGTTATCTTATGTAAGTGCTACCCACCAACTTTAGATGATCTCTGTCGAAGTAAGACTGGTGGTGTGCGTGTGTTTTCTTGTTAGATATATTTCAGCTGTTTCTGAATATTTTTAAACAAGGTACTCCTGAAGTAGTTATTTTTGGTTGACCACATAGCTGCTGTTGCTAGGAGATCAGGCAGAGACCCTGTTTTAAAAAAACAAACAAAAAAAACCCTTCCTCTGAAGCATGGGGTCTGGGGCACTTGCAGGTTTAAACTGGTGTAAATGGTGGGTTCTCTGTAATTTGAAGACTTTTTAAACCATTATTTGAGGACTTCGGTAACTCAATCTGAGGTGAGAGGTCTATTACAGGAGTGGGTGGGTACGGTTCTGTGGCCTTGCAATGTACAGGAGCTCAGGCTAGATGATCATGCTGGTCCCTTCTGATGTCTATGAGGTATGAGAAGCAAAGAAACTATTTACCTGATGTGCTTATGTGTCTCCTGAGCATTTAAAGTCTCTGATTCCAGCTAATTGCCTTTTCAGGAATACTGTACACTCAATACTGTGCATTGCAGTTGGTTTTGTGGCCAACGAACCTGTTTAATTTATATGTTGAGAGCAAAAATTCCTAACAGGAAAAAACAAGTAAGTAGCATATGTAACATTTGAACAGATTGTGTCTGGAGGTTGTAACTATGTTCTCTCCACCATGAGGGCCTTTTCCTGTATGAAGGAAATGGCACAGTAGGCTCTGCCAAAGACACCTACTATCTCTGCTTGACAAACAAGATCTCTAGCTGACACATGATTCCCATTTTGGAATGTGACCTTACAGTTACAGTGGGCATCCTAACTCTGGGACATGTATTACCCTTCTCGCCTTCTGCTACCAAACAGAGACATAGTAGGAAGATGGACTGATTTGTGTATGTCTCTATCTGTCTCTGAGATTTAAAGGCTAATCTTTGAGTTGCATCTTTAGTTTCAGAGTATCAATGGAAGACCTATTTCATTACATGTCAAAACAATCTATTTAAAGACCGAATGAACATTCTTTTTGCTTTCATTAAGAAATTATCAAACCTGAATAAAAAACTTCAAATTTTTAGAAGACAGCATTGTAAAGTGCTGTGCCTTTTCTTACTTTTAGTGAGTGAATGTGTGTGTTAAGGTGTTTGAGTATTGTGAGATCATTTGGAGAAAATATTAGATTTCTTCGCATTTGAAAATGTCTGTCTTTGGGTTTGGCTTTGTTTTAACTTTAGGTGTATCTAGCTTGTAAACACAAAGAATGTATCGAATTTTCCTATTCTGTTTACTGAAGCTTTTCTCTTTCCCCAGGACTGGCAGCCACCATTTGCATGTGATGTCGATAAACTTCATTTTACTCCACGGATCCAGAGGCTGAATGAATTGGAGGTAGTGTCAGAAACTGATGCCATTAACATTAGAGTCCTCTTGAAGGAGTAAATATGTTCTAAGTAGTTCATTCTTTAGCACGTGCAATGAAGCAAAAGGTCGCTTTTGCTCCAAACTGCATTTAATAAAACAATAAATATTTTTAAAAATAACACTGGGATGGATACTCCATGGTGTTGACGCACTGTGGCTCCCACTGATGTCAGTTGACACTTTAGGTCATAGTATCAGGGGGTAGCCATGTTAGTCTGTATCCACAGAAACAACAAGGACTCCGGTGGCACCTTAAAGACTTAACAGATTTATTTGGGCATAAGCTTTTGTGGGTAAAAAAAACACTTCTTCAGATGCATGGAGTGAGAATTACAGATGCAGGCATTATTATACTGACACATGAAGAGAAGGGAGTTACCTCACAAATGGAGAACCAGTATTGATAGGGCCAATACAATCAGGGTGGATGTAATTCACTCCCAACAATTGATGAGGAGGTGTCAACTCCAGGAGAGGAAAAACTGCTTCTGTAGTGAGCCAACCACTCCCAGTCCCTATTCAGGCCCAAATTAATGGTATTAAATTTGCAAATGAATTTTAGTTCTGCAGTTTTGCTTTGAAATCTGTTTCTGAAGTTTTTTTGTTCAACTATGGCTACTTTTAAATCTGTAATAGAATGTCCAGGAAGATTGAAGTGTTCTCCTACTGGCTTTTGTATGTTACCATTACGGATGTCCAATTTATGTACATTTATTCTTTTACATATTCTCTACGTATTCTCTTTTGAGTTAACTGCGATTAATCAACAGCCCTAGTTTCACATTTGTATTGCAGAAGTGCCTAGAAACCTCAACCAGGTCAGGCTCCCATTGTGCTAAAGCACTGTACAAACATATAGTAAATGACAGTCCCTGCCCTGAAGGTCTTACGTTCATAAAAATGAGACAAGTGGTTAGGGATGAGGAAGGACGATGATAACAAAAGTAATATAATTTAGCATGGATTAGTTCTGTGGGCAACTTTTAGCTGGTCAATAGTAGTAATAACTCATCACCTGCCTTGTTGTTTTGAGATGGTAGAGCTCTGGTCAAGTGAAAAATTCTTTATGCATTATGGTGTATGAGCTTCGAGGAGGGACGTGAGGGAGGATAAACTGGCTTTAGAATTTTCCACTGGGAGTAAGGGACTTCAGGGGAGACAGTGCAGAGGTGCTTGTGGGAGAAGTGGACGAGCAGGTGGACGAGGCTGGCATAGATGGCAGAGGGAAGGTGGCAGGACTCAGCCTCTTGGAAAGATAATAGTTCAGAAAAGGGAAGGCTTATATGAAGAGCTTTGAAGGTCAGCACAATAAGTCTGTGGTGGAGAAAGGGAGCAGTGAAAGGATTAGATGCAGGGAATAGACAGCTAGTGATGAACTTAATTCCCTCTAAGCTGTGCAGCAGCCTATTAAGCACCACATAGGCGTTCAGGGCTGTGGCAGGGAGAGATGCCCCTCCCCTGGACCTGTTGCAGCCAGGAGAGAGCCCCCCCCCAGCCCTGGACCTGCTGCGGCCGGGGGAGAGGCATCCCTCCCCGGCCTGAACCCAGCCCCGGCCTGGACCTGCTGCGGCTGGGGGAGAGGTCCCTCTCCCCTTCTCCCCCCAGCCCAGGTGCTGTTGTGGGGGGAGAGAGCAGGGGGGGCAGTCCTCTTTCCCCACCGTAGCCCTGGGGTAGCCTGCACCCCAAACTCCTCATCCCCATCCCAGAGCCCACACCCCCAGCCGGAACCCTCACTCTCCCCTCACCCCAACCCTCTGCCCAGCCCTGAGCCCCCTCCCACACTCGGAACCCCTTGGTCCCACTCTCGCCACGTGAATTTTGTTATGTTTGCCAATATGGAGGTGATGTGTTACACTCTATATTGGTGCACATAACAAAATTCATTCTGCACGTGCTTGGGAAAAATTTGAGTGAAAACCGGTGATGAGCCAGGAAGATGTTCTTAAACTTAAGTGTAGACATAGCCTACGTTGGCATAACATATGTTATGCCACACAGGGGTGTGAATAGATGACCCCACCCCAAGCGACGTAGTTACAGGTGTGGATAGCGCTATGTTGGTGGGAGACTCTCTAGTGTAGCCGTGCCCTTAATCATTTTCTGTCACTTTGTCTCCAAGAATTGTATGTAATAACCTGTCATTAAGTATGACATACTTGTTGGCCAAACAGCAAAATCCTGCATTATGTCACTGGATTCACCACTTTGAAGCCAGTTGCTTAGTCTGAATTTTTGAAAGCTTCTTTTAAATTTAAAAATTTTTATTTTTGCATTGATTGTGCCTATTCCCTGTGCCGAAAGGCATTTTAAAACTGACATGAATTTTAAATCTTTAAAAGCTGTCTTGGAAAGTTGATTCTCAGAAGGCATAGTCAACAAGAGGGCAGTTTCATATATGGGGTTCTGTGGGATTCATAAGTTCATTGCAACTTTAAAGTAGCATTACCAGAAAAGCCCAGAGTAGAAGATCTATTTCATACTATGCTGCTGAACTAACAGAAGGAATGTTAACTAACTCTGTACCAGGTCTCGTTGATGTTAGTGATGGTGTAGTGTCTAAACACATAAGTCTGCTGAAATGCAATGTTAAAGTTCCCTTTGAGGGTAGAATAATTTTTTATCAAATGGAAGTGGACCAGATTGGTATGGATAACAACTTATTCTAAGTTTCAAAGGGTTTAAAATATCAGCAAATGTTTTCTAAGCTCAAAAGTAGACCTTTGATTCCAGCTAATATAAGATGAATCACAGCTCAATTCTTGTAGACACTTTGTGGTGATAAAAATAAAAAAAATGTATTTTGATAGAATTAGGGTTGTATTAGAGTTTGGACCATTATTCATCTGGCACTTACCTGTCTGATTCAGAGTGTGATTTTTTTTTTTTTTTAAACTTTACTGGTTGCTAGTTTTATAACATATGGAGGTAGGTATATCTCATAGAACTGGAAGGGACCCTGAAAGGTCATCAAGTCCAGCCCCCTGCCTTCTCTAGCAGGACCAAGTACTGATTTTGCCCCAGATTCCTAAGTGGCCCCCTCAAGGATTGAACTCACAACCCTGGGTTTAGCAGGCCAATGCTCAAACCACTGACCTATCCCTTCCCCCCCCATTTTGCAGTAAAACATGTATTGGCAAATGCATTATGTGGTAGGGGAGAAAACATTTTTGGCAGCCAAAGTTTCTGTTTATTTGACCAGTTCAAATGTTCACTGTATCTACAGATACAGTGTAGATTCAGTAACTTTTAAAGACAATTTGTGAAGATGACTTGAAAGATGAATCCCCTCAAAGAAGGAAATTAATCCATGTAGTAAATCTCATTAATTTGTATTTGGGTAAACCCACAAATCTGCATCAGAAATGAATCTGCAGCTCTTTGGGGAGGAGGGGTGCAGGAAGGGGTCCTGTTGGGGCATGCCACATTACCCCATCCCTCTAATGCCCAAGGACCTAGTTACAGAATTTACTACTGGCGGGACTGGTGCTGCTTCTTACTCCAGCAAAGGAGGAGTAAGGTTGCTCTCACCGTTGCCTGTGCACATCTGTGAGTGGGGAAGGTTTGCCACTCTGTAGGTCCTCCGCTGTGCTTCTTGCCTCAGTGGTCTAGTCCTTTGGAGTGGATAGGTTTCCTAACATAGAGCCAGTGAACATCATTACTGATGATGGATCAGGTCTAACACAGGGAATATAGAGGAGGTGACACTGGCTCTTAAGATTGAATAGCGAGTCTTTTTTAAAACAACTGATTCCGGTCATTGCCTTCAAATGGTGGATACATTGAAATTGAAATCACAATTGGTGGCATTAGCCGGGATGCCAAAGGCCCAGTGGAGACAGAAGTTTTCTTTCCCAAACAAATGTGATCAATCTATGATAGAGTTCAAGCACATTGACAAGGCTATACGTCTAGATATCTGGAGAACTTCAATTTCAATGCAGTCAATCCAGCATCTTTCCCAAATAAACAAAAATGAAAGGAAGCCAGTCGTGTCTAGCTTTATTATACTAGGTGCAAATACATTTAAAGAGGGATTTTGGAACATAACCGAAGATCTGAACTTGAAAATGTTCTAATATGGAAAACATTGGGAAGTGGAAGCTAAATTGAACTGCATATTGAAAGCAGACTGTCTTCTGTTAGGCTCAGACCCGTGTGAAGCTGAATTTTCTGGACCAGATTGCAAAGTTTTGGGAGCTCCAAGGATGTACACTGAAAATTCCACATGTAGAGAGGAAGATCTTGGATTTATTTCAACTTAATAGGGTAAGACTATTTTTTAAAATAGCTTGTTTTCCTGCAAAAGATGTCATATTACTTCTGTTCCTCCACTGAAGTCAAGTCGTCTTTAGTAAGCTACTTCATTAGAGGGTTTTTAATGTATGATTTAACGACCTATTCTGTGAAATGGATTCAAGACAAGTGTGGTTTATATTGCACTAAAAAGTAATGTTGGGTAGCTAATTCAGTAGTAGAGCCTTAGAAATGCAGCCTGAGAGAATCCTCCAACTAGACTGAACTATAAACCTGCATCTAATCTTCCCTTCTGGTGCATATTGTAAAGCATTATTTTGGGGAAGTTGTGTGACCTGTGTTATACAACAGTTCAGATCATCACAATTGGTCCCTTCTTGCCTTGGAATCTGTGAATCTATAAACTTTTTCAGAGGTCTTTATGTTTTCTGACTAGCTAAGTAAAGGATTTAAGGTACAGCATTCTCTTAATGTGAAAACTGTATTTAAAGTATTTATTGCATATGGTAGCATCTGCAAAAGGAAATGCTTTTTCCTTTGTAACTTTTTTTTTTACTGGCAGTAGATCTTTATACACTAATGACTTTATTTTTGTATATGTGACCATTGTATTTTTCCTTTATAGCTAGTTGCAGAAGAAGGTGGATTTGACTTAGTCTGTAAGGAGAGAAAATGGACGAAAATAGCCATCAGAATGGGTTTTGCTCCAGGCAAGGCAGTGGGTTCACACATCCGTGCCCATTATGAACGTATTCTTTATCCTTACAACTTATTCCAATCTGGAGCTAGTCTACTGGTGAGTGTTTGTTTGTTTGTTTGTTTGTTTCCCTCCCCCTGGCTAGCTAACAACTGGATAAATTTGCCAACAACTAGTGGGTTATTTCCTTTTTGGGGAGCATTTCTAAAATCTTTAAAGATTGCATTTATATTTATTTCATAGACTTCATCTTGTTACTTAGACACTAAGGTCATGAGATGAGTATGTTAGTAATCCACAGACAGAACTTTATCAAATGGAAAGTTAAGTACTGGAATTTTGTGAAGGACTCTTTTCTTGACCTGCTGCTCACAAACAGGGAAGAATTAGTAGGGGAAGCAAAAGTGGATGGGAACCTGGGAGGCAGTGACCAAGCGGTA